AAGTTTTATTGAAACACGATTGAACAGACTATAATAACTAAGCTTAATTTGTGTATATATCTATTATAATTTACAAATGTACTCACAAACACATGGTATATTTGACAGTGTGAACCAAAAGTCGATTAATTTTTAAATCGGGATCGATGGTGTTTTTTGCTGCAGCGCTAGGGGTTTCAGCAAGATAAATAACAAAATAAAATTTGAATACACTTTTTTTTATTTTTGATCAATATTGTGACGAGGCACAAATAACTGTTCTAAATTTAAGCCATAAAATACTAATTTCTACACGTCTGTACTTCTTATAAAACTTTTATCATCGTTTAAATTTTTTTTGCACCCTGTATATTTAACCGTACGTCAGTATTCATGATAATACTCCTTGTTTTTTGTCAAAATCCAATTAAATTTCCTTTAACATTGTGATAAATTACCGTTAATAGTGTTGTTCGTTTCGGAAAGTGATATCTAATCACACCGCCTGACTGAAATGTGTGACAAATCTTTTTTTGTAAAACAAAAATTATAAAAGATTTCTAAGAAATTCAGAGATAATAATATAATTTTTTTATTCATTATGCGCAAATTTAGCGTTAACTGATTATGCATTGTTCGAGAACCAATTAACAGTACCTTGAACGACTAGTGTGTATAAGTTTGAGGAGTTGATTTACTGCATTGTGCTTAAATCACTTTCAGAAATTGACTTTAATATTACATTATGATATAAAGCAGCTATTTCCAGATGATATAGCAAAAATAAAAGCATTTTCGGAGTACATATGGTCCTTAACTCGCTTTCAGCAATCGACTTTATGGAAATAAATAATACTTTTCAAAAGCACTTTACTTTTGAAGACTTGTAGAAACTTTTTTTTTTTTTGTTTCTGATAAACTTGTACCTGATGATTGGCCTCGATCTTATAAGTAATCAAGCTTTTTCAATTCATCCGCCTTAAATCACGTTCATCACACATGATTCTTATCTTTATATTGCCTATTACCAGTTATGTAAATAATTGTAAATTTTAAACTTTAAAGTTTTATAATATTGATACATTGAGTTTGGATTTCATAAATACACATTAAGGTGGTTATAAAAGTTGTAAAAAAAAACAATATATTTGAGGGCTTCTTCCCGTTAATATAGCAGAAAGAGTATATATATATATTATATATTGATGTTATAAAGTATCAAATTAAAATAATATTAATCCTTAGAATTTATTGAACTGAAGTAATTATATGAAAGGTTCTAAAATTACAGGAAAATTAATTTTTTACGACTTTCTTGAGTTTAAAGTAAATAAAATTTATTTGTGTATTTAGTTTTGTTTAGTTAGTCGATAAAAAGCTCGCAATAGAAACTGGGGTCCATATATTCGGTACTTGGAGGATTGAACAGTTTTGGTTCCATTTTGATAATTTTTGATCGTAAGCTGACACACTTCAAAGTCGTTGTTCGTGAAAAGTTTTATTCCAATGCATTCATTGGTGCTTAATTTGTTTACTGGAAAGTAAAAGAATCAGAACGATATTCAAATTTGTTATATGAGAAGTAGGCATAGTTGTAGTCCAATTGACACTACAACAAAGTAATGCCAGATTAATGTTTTTTACCGAATTTGGTTGAAATCGATCGAGCGGCTCTCAAGATATGGGTTTCCACCTAAATGTGGGCGGTGCCACACCCATCGTCTAATTTTTTGACTCCGGCTCCTATAAAGCCCTCTTCTATGATCTCCGATGTAAAATATTATATCTCAGACGCATTTAGTTATTGATTTATCGCGCTTTTACTTTAAACAAAACCGTTATATGGAAAGTGGGCGATTTTGCCATTTTTACGGTAGGGATGTTTATGGAACTCGTCTTGAGTGAATTTTGCCATAATAGTTTAAATAGTTAAGGAGATATGTACATTAAACCTCTTACAGAGCGGGAAACGCCCATTTTTTTAAAAAGTCTTAGCCCACATGTGCCTCTTGCTACTGCAATCGCCTCTATCGAATTACAGTTTCATAGCATCATTTAGTGTGTAGCTAGGGCGTTTTATAGGTTTTCAATTAGTGGCGTTTTGTGGGCGTGTCAGTGATTAAGCTTTCGTCCATCTTTGAATTTATTTTTCGGAATCGTCGATATTGGACTACAATAGTATCTAGCTGACATAAAAACTGAACGACCGTAATCATGTTCTCATATGGAAAACGTTTTTATTTTGGCAAGATATCTTCACGAATAGAATAACATTGAATAATATCCCAAACAATGCTACAATCTACGAAAACACGCCATACGAACTGGCCGATAAAAATAAAGTAAAGGGTATTCTAGCTTCAGGGCAACCGAAGTTTACGTTTGTTCTTGCTTCATACTAAAGTTACACTTAATCATACCAAAACACCGTCACATCTGATTTGTTCATATATTTTTCTATTATTTGAAAAATGTAAAAGAGACTATAAAACATGATTAGTTAATTGCAGACGTTTCAGTACATCCGTTATGTTGAAATTATGACTCATTTCTTATTCGACTTGGTTTATTTTTATACCGCTTTTATTAGTTTCACCTATATGTTTGTATGTTTGTAACTTTTTTCTGTGCAAGCGATAACTTGAATATAAATTTAGATATCTTGATGAAACTTGCTACATATGTTTCTTGGCACTAAAGGAATCCTGTATTCGGACTGGCGTAATCGGACCACTGCCACGCTCAGAAAATGCCTTTTAAACCACTAACTTAGCACTAAATTAGTTTACCGAACTTGAGTTTGGTACAGGGGATTGCGCTAACAAGGGACACCTATTGGCTGATATTTTTTTTTTGAAATAGGCGTAGCCCAGGCCCCTAAATGTCTTAATGCACCTATCTTCCAAATATATGAAGCTAACTTAGCCAAATTTGCGGGGAAAAAGTCTTTTTATTAGATTTTCATACGCTGTGAAATGAATAATAACCACGCCACTAAAACTACTAAGAGTGCGATAACTCACTAAATAAATGCGCCATATTCATTAAATTTCACAAACAAGATGGGAGTGAAGAGCTTTATAGGATGACGTGTAAAAATTGGACAGTGGGCGTGGTACCATCAACCCTTAGGGGAAATACTATATCTCCTACTATCGAAATTGGTATGTAAGGTTATCTAGCTATTCCTATCACACAATGTAAAAATGGGTGAAATCGTACAACGACTATAAAACTATGTAGCTAAAAGCATCCACTATCCATGCTGTCATTTAATTAAAAAATTGACCTTGTATGTAAATAATAGGTATGGCTTAAAATACTAAAAGAACATACTTTTAAATCACTTCAAACTAAAAAGTTAAAAAGTAATTCCTTATAAAAACTGACAGTACTGTTGGCAGAAAAATACTTGTATTATTGAGAAAAAAGCGTGCGATGGTTTGTGCCATTTTTTTCGTATATCAGTCAAATAATAGATAACGTCAACGAGCGTCACAATCTGTTGATCTTTAAAGAGTTTGAAGTGCTTTTGGAACAAATAAATGCACTTTTTCCAATACAAATATAATAATTCACATTTATTAATGCTACCCAATACCAGCGAGCACTACCCTCGGAGGCTTTAAATGTCTCTCAATATTAAACTCCAACGACAATGTCGTAGGATATGTAGATAGTATAATCTTGGTGAAATTATAGGATTGCCTTTAATAGCTTGCGGTTAATATCTTCCAAAATATTAGAAGAAAGTTCTAGAGATCCAAGATCCGTTCCATAAGTATGTGTGTACTTGAGGATCGTTGTCCTTATGAGCTAATACAGGATTTCCGAACACTAAACGTTCAAAGTATTATAATATATTCCGAGCATTTATGCTCTGGATATTCAAATACTTCGGTACATTTAATATATATGTGAAGAATTTATATCTAGAAAAAAATTCTACTAAACACTTGAAATTGGTATTGACAAATCAAATTTCTTAATCACTTCATTTTACAGGTACCTGATATTTTTTAAAAATATACTTGAGTACATACAAACTTCGAGCAACCAATAGATATAATAAAAGTGGCCATATTTCTTCCATTAACCTTTCAAGTAAAAAAAGTCCCCCAAAGGCCATGTATATGGAAAACTGAGTGGTATATATCTATAAGCACTGGTCTGTACGACTAGAATACGGTGGAGGGGTTTTTCGAACAACGGTTTACATCATTTTTGAACATCCACTGTTCCCAGACCCGATTTCGGGATATTATTTTGTTTAGAGGGTACTGTGTGGTTAGAGGTTACTCTGGGGAATCCCGGATGCGAATTCGATCACAACAAAAAATTCATAAATTTTTTTCCCTGCTGGGAAAATTCTCACAGAGGAACTTGAAACTTACAGATTCCACATATGGTGGACAGAAACTTGGTGCAAAAAAACTTGTGTATTGGAGTTTGATGTTCAGGGCAATTTTTTTTAAATATACATATAAATAAAATGTAAACGTTTCTCACTAAAGTCTAGCAATCACGGTTCTCAAAATATAGTTCACTCTAGCAATTGGTCAGGGCCATATACTGCTTTGCCTTTCTGTAGCGGGAAAGTCATGACCTTACTCGGACCTTCCTCTCTAAAATTATAATTAAGTTCAACTTTGTTCTATGGCAACAAAATAAATCTGAAAACTGTGAGTGACTCTAGTCTGCTTTATGGTACCAGGCTCTTTGGTATTGAGAAAGTCGTACTTTAACTCGAAGATTACGCTCGAAATGCTCCATGATAGCGAGGAAAATTTTAAGCTCAGACAAATCGTTTCAGTGCCACTGATTGGTCTTAAGGCCTCTCAAAATGTGGTTATGACCAAGCCGACGAAGAGGCAGGAACCGGGCGAAGTCATCTTCTGCTGTTTATTGAAATAAGATCCCGTCCGCTAGATGATGTGAAGTCTGAAGAAACGAATATTCTAAATTTGAGGGGGTTCCGAACCCCCGTAGCCTTACTTACTGACTATGGTTTCGTATAAAATCATATCTAAATATGTCATAGGTGCAAATATATGAATATTAATCATATTAAACATTTTTAAACACACATTTCATTTTCTGATAAGCGCAACGTGTCACATTACTCATTATCATTGTTGTTGGCATGAGTAATGTTTTTGCCTTTTATCTACGAAATGACACCACTGAGCCCCTAAGCTTCCAGGTTTGCGATAAAATGTGTGTCAGCGACGAAGATGTCAATAACGATATGATATAAATTATCGAATGTGTGGCAAGTGTCAGTTTAGTTTTACCCTTCGAACGAGTTAGACGAAGTTGCGACGGTGTTGGCTTTAAGAAACCCAAAAGCAAAAAACCAGGACACAATCAGTGCAAATATTCTATTGTTTCGAAATTTTTTAATTGAAGATAAGACAAAAATCGTTTTGAAAATGTACAAGCTCATGCAATGCGCGGCTATCGTGAGCCTGCTCTATCTTTTCGGTAGCAACGGCGTTGCTGCTCAAAACCTGACCCAGTGTCAGACTGCGAACAGTTTAACGAATCTTACGAGTGCTGTGAGTGTCGCATTACCCTAACTTTAGTTTTACGAAGTAATTCTGTTCAAATATTGGATTGTGTGCAATATATTTGAAAGAATATTGGTTTTGATCTCGATAATATCTTTTTATGCTTTTCAGTAAAATTTCTTTGAAATAATTTATCGTTTATAACGGTGATTTACCTAAAAAATACTGTAATTTCTTTTAAAACAGTTGAGTTTTCAAAATTTCAAATAAATTTTTTAATAAGATAACGGTGCTGAGCAAAACGTAAAAATAATTTCGAAAATAAAAAAAGATAACACAGTGTTGCTCCACAACCACGCTTTTCAAAAAATGGGATTTGCCCCAGAGCTTTGAAAAAGTAACTTTGTTATAGTCAAAACTTGAATTAAGAAATTCAAATATAATATCAAAAATATATGAATAAAACTTTTTTAAATAAATATATTGAGAATTAAAATTGCCTTGTTATAAAAAAATTATTTTAGTTTTACATATTAATTGTTTTATGTGTTTCAACGAGATATCAGTGAGATTTAAAATTGAAATTACTTTTTATCTAAAAAATAATAATTTAAAATAAAAAATTTTCATAAATATTTCTGAAATTAATCAAGCGCAATTTTTTTACGCCCAGTTTGAAGGCCAGTGGTATGAGGCCAGCCGCAGCCCAGCAAGCGCATGGAGTTGTGTTGGTCTCGATATTAACGCGAACGCGTCGGGCATATATCTCAGTCTCACCACACCACAAACTACGGCCGCTCTGTACTTAAACCAAACCTCAACCTATCTACTCACCCCAGTCAATGGAACCAATTCGAGCAGCTTGGTAAATGTCACCTCACCCGCTGGCGGTTACTCTTATCCAACAAGCAGTAATGGAAATGTGACAATCAAAATACTTGAAGCCGATAGTTCCAGCTATGCGGTGCTCTGCGGATATAGCTCCACCTCAAATAGCTCATTTGGTCTTGTAATCACGCGCCAACGTTCGGTGACAAACGCCACATTGACATCGTATGTTGAACAAATCAATAGCACCTATGCAGGTTTCGAGAATTTGACGAATGTGGATCAGGGCCTTGCGTAAGTAACAATTTGATACAGTTCTAACTATCTGGTAAATAACCGTTACGCATGTGGGAAAATGTTAAATTGGCCTAAATCGACATAACTCGATTATTCGAGACTTGGTGTTTTAGCTTAAATGAGTGCTTAGGAAAGAAAGATTCATATTAATAGAAAACAGTGTGAAGCAAGAATCTTAGCGTCATACCAGAAACACAAGTATACAAATTAGCTTATGTCGATTTGCGCTAACTTACTGGTACTTAATTAGAGTTAGAAACTTTTTACTCCAGATATCCTCTATCTTAGCATATATCACAAATGTTGATTCTAATGTGTGAGTGGGAACTTGCGTCATATAGGGGTAAAATTTCCGAGCTTGTTATGCGGAGTTAAATAAAAATTTTTTTTAGCTTACCATATATGTATACATAATACCAACATCGTCACTATGTATCTAACGTATAACTCATTAATGCCATTTGGATATCTTAAGGTAATCGAATTTCGAACCCAAATAATATTTTTCTGATATTATATATTTTTTTTCGACTGAATTTTTTAAGGGTTGAGCGGCAACGAAGTTATAGTGATTGGGAGCCTGTAAGAAAATTGCTAATTTAATATTATGTATTAGGGTACATTTTCAGAGCGCGAAAACAATTTATTATTTAATTTTTAAATTGCCGCCCTAATATAATTAGAGACTTACAAATTTAACATAATATTTACTTTTTAAATTGTTTATTAACTCATATCGTTAACTCAATTTTATTTACAGGTGCTATGAGAGCTCAGCCGCCACGCATGCCTCGGCCTTATCGCTGGTTTTCGCAGTTATATACGCTGTCACTAAGTTCATTAATTAAGTGTGAATCCTTTTTATACACATAAATATGTACATATGTTTATTTAATTTTTAACAATATTAAATTTCATTACACAATTTAAATTATATACATACGTACTTATGTTATAGTTGCTACACACAACTGTACATACATTTTTCACTACTGTAAATCACAAAACTTTATTTGCTATGTGGAAAACTATGTTCACATATAAACAAAAATTAACGGTACTTATACTTAAAAAGGAACCAATACAAGTATTTATAATTTTATTTGTTGTTTTTGAGGAATAAAAATTAATGTAACTGAATTTCTCTGTATTAATAATAAAAATAGAAAAATTATTTGCTTTAGAAAGTAAGAATAATAAATAAAGTAAAATTGGAAAACAAATTTTTATAATTTTTTATTACCAATAATAATAACAAACTGTACATAAATGGTATCTAATAATTACAGTAAACTAAAAAAAATTTACAAAAAAATGGCACACCCTTATGTAGCGTCCTTCCTTGGTTTAAATAATCGAACAAGCGAAAGTTTAAAAATTAAAATATGCTATTATTTAAAATATTCTTACCTTGAAATTCACAATTGTGTTGACCGATATTTAAAAAAAGCTATACTAATTTCCAAATTAAAACATAAAAATTATTACATGTAATTTTATTAACTTACCACAGATTTCAAAAAAATTTCAAAAATATTTTTCTTAAAAACCGAACCTCTCACGTTCATACCAACAAATATTTCATTGTTAAATTAAAAAAAAAATTAAAAATTTCATATCTCAAAATATGGAACCACAAAAAGGTATGACAATGACAATGGAAGATCGATTGCACTCATCAAATCAAGATGCAATACACCTCGCCTCTAAAAAGCCAAAAAAAAAAAAATTTATTATTGCGTTGTGCCCCGAATCTGCTCCCATTTATCTATGAATACATACTCTTATCAGAAATTTTTTTAATTTGTGTTAATAATCTGTAGCGAACATTGTCGAAAACAAGCCGCACTGATAAGATATCGCTAAAATAAAGTATAAATATGTGATTTTTCAGTATGTTTTTGTCGCCATAACTTCTGTGGCGTTGTGTGGCATACTGAACCGCCCGCGAACAAGCAGGAGTACAAATTAAACTTGTAGATACTTCTTTGTTGAAGATAAAAAGCAATTGAGGTTTGCTAACAACTAAGGTAAACAAGTGAGTCATATGTGCCGCGTAGATGGTGACAATTTGTCAATAAATATTAACTTGTGACTTGTCTACTCATCAGATAGCGCGTATGAAAGTAAAAATATATAATTTTAGTGGACGTAAAGTTAATTAAAGCGGTAAAAGTACTATTCTTTATGGGGTACCCGTTTAGGTGCAAACTTCGCTAACTGTTTGGGGTGTGAGACTCTGCTAAATGTAAATTTAAAACTACTTGTATAAAAAAGTCTTTGTTTTTCTAAATGTCGCTGGACCCTGATCAAACAAGTTGAATTTTCGAGTGAAAAAAGTTTTCAGAAAAATGTAGGTACACTTCCTCGACGTCATTTTGTCTGAGACTTTCAATATGGTCATCGGAAATTAGTAAAACAGAATGTCTAACGTTGTGAGATTAACAGTATTTTGTTACTATTACTCTATTTATTATACAAAAATCTGGTTATTGTTAGATGAAGACTGTTACAGAGACTTGTAAGGATTTCCGTGTATTGCAATACCACAAAACATTAAACCTCTCTTCTTTATAAACACAATATTTTCTGACCTTCCGCCATCAAATCTTATCAAAAAAAGCTACTGGAATCGAAACTGCATTTGTATGCATCTAGAAATCTTAGATGTATTTAATAGTCTTGGCAAAATTGGTTTGTGAAAGTCTAAATACTACCCAGGTGTAAAATTATTGTGACTTGAAACGAGTGTTGCGTTTTCGTAGTCCCAAATGGATAAAATTTGAATGCCTTATTTCCTACACATAATAAGAGGAAATAAGACCGACGAAACCCCTCTTCACCATGGAAGAATAGTGTCTCAAAGCCGGCGTATTCCCAGAAATTTGGAAAAAACAACAGCTATTGTTAATTAGTAAAGGTGATCCAGACAGCCCATCAGCATAGCCTCTTTGCATGCTTGACACAGCCAGTAAGCTTATCGAGACAATGCTGAAACCAAGGTTAGAAGCAGGCGGCTTAAAGTGAGGAGCGTAGAAGGAGCGCACAGAGGATGCAACAAACTCAGACGAGTTTGACGTGCGCAACGCTTTCAATAGCGCTCGATGGGAAAACATGATTGAGTATTAGAGGAAAACTTTAAAATTCCCACTTATCTCAGCATAATGGTGAGGAGCTATAATATTTGGAATACTTAGTCTTGTTGTATAAAACCGCTGAAGGACCACGGCACTTGAAGGTCACGTCAGGAGCTGCGCAAGAATCAATCCTCGGCACAGACCTCTAGAAAGTCAATTAAGACGGCATATTAAGCCTCGACGATACTTATCTGGTTGGCTACGCAGACGACAGCGCTGCTAGAGACACCGCAGATGCGCGCAGGAAGTTAAACTAGGTGATGATCAGAGCACAAATTGGGCTTGATACGAAAGGTGTCAAACTTGTCACTGAAAAAACTGAGCTGATACTGCTAACAAACAAGCATATTCCGGGTATACTTGTAATAGACATGAGGACAATAACAGAGACACTAAGGACACAAAAGGTTGTCAATTACCTGGGGGTAAGAATAGACTCCAGCTTACCTACTGGGCACAAGTTCAACACGCTGCGGAAAAAGCGTCTAGAATAACTTGTCAACTGAGCAGGCTGATGTCCAATATCGGAGGTCTGAGACAGGAAAAACGGAAACTTTTGATGTCGACAACATTAAATGTCTTGCTCTACGGAGCAGAGTTACGGGCAGACACACTGAGCAAAAATAATCGAAGAATTAAGACGAGAAATATGGAACGCCACCCTGAAGTAATGCGTAAGCGGTTCCAAAGTGTGCAACGGTTCCTTAGAGGAGTGTTTTTTAGTGACCTGCAAGTGGCACATACCATTGCTGTGACGACACAATGACGATGCGGAAGGCATTTTTCTCAACCTCCCCCGAAAAAAAAACCATTTCAATCGAGTTAATATTACATATATCTCATTGAAAATGTTTTTAATATAATTTTAGCTGACGCGAACTAAAATATAACAATAAAACTGATTCAAAGTTTATGGTATTCAAAATAAGTCAAGAATATATTAAATTTGATTGTAATTTGTTCACGATTTCATCGAATAATGGATGCTTATTTCTTTCGCAACATTGTTTAATATAAAGTTTGCCAGCACCTGAAGGAATTTCCGGGGCTTTGATTCTTGCAAGTTACAAGAGTGTAAAATTTCAGTTACATACAAACTGAGTCCGTCCTTACTTGTTAATTGTAGCGTGTGTAGTAGTTGTAAAGTGTATATCTTTTATTTCTAAAAGCTCACAGACTTGAAAAATCCTTAATTTGTTATGATTTGCAGGTGGACGGCCACGACACTGCCAAAAAAAGATACCATATAAGTGCAAACGAGTATAAATTGATTTATATATTTTTGCTTTTAGATTAATTATTTCTATATATATATATATATATACATATGCATGTATGTATGGGTACTTAAGCACGTACATTTACCAATTTTTTGTTATTAATTATTAAATTTATCTGTCTGATATAATATGTATGTCGTATGTCGTGATTGAGTATAATTGAGGCGTTGACGAATTCGATAGCGCTTTTAAAAATATTCCACATTTTTTCTGATTAGGCAACCAATTAGAAGTAGTTCTTGTAATAACCACACCACAAAGGTAAAGACTGATTAGTTTTGGTTTTACGATTCAATTGGAAAATTTTCATGCTTGTTCTGGATGTGAATGAACTTGGATTCAATGCCATAGGTAAGATACTTACGTAAGTTAAGGTTTTAAAAGGTTTGTGTTAAAGTAGTGCCATATCACAGTGCAAACTAGACAATAATAGAATAAGGAATTATGAAATAAAATTTACTCACTTCTAAGGTGTTTGAAAATTTATTTTATTTAAATTCCTTACTTAAGTTTCCAATTCGGAGTCAAAGACGATTAGTTCGATATACTTGTGATTTACTTGTATAAATGGGAACATGTCAGAAAGCAAGAGTCCGCTATGAAGGCAGTTCTATATCTACTAAACTATCGTCAACTAAACTATAAAACCCCTCATAAAAAAAAGTTTTAAATACAAGAAATTAATTTGGATCGTTCTGTTTGTATAAAAACTATATGCTTTATATTAAGTTATACGATTTCGGTACCTTCAAAATATATAGAACAAAAGTTGAACAAACTGGTCAAAGCACTGCACGAAATACGTCTATATTAACACCCAACTATCATTTTTCAAAAATATTGATTTCCTTCAACAGCTTTTACACTTATCAAACTCACGAAATATATTTCTTTGAGTTTTAATTCTATTCAAGAATAGTAAGACCCTCCAAGTTTTAGCTCGCTTTCCAATTGAACTATGGTCTATTATTTCAACCGCCAAAAACTTAAAATTAAGCGACATGAGGTATTATTATTAATACCATTACTATTACCATCACCATTACCATTATTATAATATTATAACGATGATTATTATAAATATTACCTTTCCTATCATATACTTGTATTATCATAGATTAAAACTCACTTTGCTTATAATGTTTTTGTAATCAAGCGATTCACTACTTCCTTTATTGTACTCTTCACTAAAGAAAATTTGTTATATGTGTGTTTTGCGGTGACTTATGGCATAGTTAAATAATTTATGTTAATAAATAAAATGTGATTGTTTTATAAAACTGCATAACATCAAAAAGATTTTCTAAAAATATATAAAACTATTACTGAAATATTAAGGCACATATAGTATATGTACAATACATATGTATGTATAAGCTACTCACATAAAATATATTGTGCCGCAAATTAACGGCATTCATTGGAAAATCTGCACAAAATCATTAATCAATAATCATTAATCATTCATTTATATTATTTCGTAAAATTATTTAGCTGATATTTGACATTTCATGAAATGCTTTCCAAGTAATTTGGTCATTTTACATAATTATCTATACGCACACTGACGAGGGAAATTGCAGCAGGAATATAGGTAATTGGATTTCAGACGGAGTTTCATAGCTTCTCGGTAATATGATAATTTATTATAACACGATTTTTAACAATTTTTAGGCCTGTCAATAAATTTGATTAATATTGAGGTTATCTGAAAAGAAATCTTGAACTCAACACAAACGGGACTTGCCACCTAGAGAAAAAGATAAAAGGACTGAAAATATTATACGAAATATGTCAACTACAAGCCTTCAAGTAGATATTGAAAATTATCTGAAAAATATCCGATATATATATATTTTAAAATAGATTCGACACATATCCCTAAAACTAACACTGATTAATATGTTACATAATCTCTGGGAAATTTCAGCGTTTAAGTAAGATTTTCGAAAGAAGTATTTTTAAGAATTTTTAATTTAGACATATTTTGTACTTAAATTGCCACCTAACGAAAAATTTAGGACCGAAATTGTTTTGAAATTTATACTTAACAAGGGAAGTTTGGGAAAGTCTTCCACAAATTATTCATTAAATCATCAATATATAGAAGTTGTGAAATGGAGTTGCCACTCATAAAAGAGTAAATCTTATGAAAGGAGAAGTTTTGGAAATATTCAGTTGATACGCCCTATGAAAGACAGAAAAGTACTTGCCGGATCTTTTTTAATACCTCTATATTAGTTTTAAAGCATTGGAAGTATTGCTAAAAAGTTTGAAAACCGGTTTGAACATAAGAAGGATATTTAATTATTTTTCGAATACAAAAAATCGAAACTTAAACTTCAAAACTGTTCCATCTAAATCGTACCTAAATGTACCCATGTATATAATTGGAAAAGAACGGAAAACCTAATGTACATATAAATAAATATTTTTTGTTTTTTGAAGTTAGTACAATTATAAAAAAGCTAAATATAGCGAAAGTGAAGCTCAATCAAAATAATTATCCGTTCACCATGCTAAAATTTTGCTTGTCACTGTATTAGTAACCAGTACTTCGACATAGGCGCTGATTTAGTTCCTGTAAAAGTAAACTCTCTGCCAGACAAATGTTAACGTTGCCAAATTTCTCCATTATTTTTACTGCTAAATAAGCAAACTTTTCATAGTTGTTATTGTAAATATTACACGCCCAATAGGTGCGCACAAGTTGCTGATAATTCAAGCTAATGTTGTTGCCACTGACGCGCTGTGACTGGGTGAGTTTGATGTACGAGTACTTTTTGGGCTGTTTATTGTTGTTGTTGTCAAAATATAAATTTATAATCGTATATCGTATTATATAGGTGCAGCGATTTCTTTTTTGACATTGTTGTTGTTAGTTTTATCTACTTCAATTGCACCAGCACCATGAAGTAGGTGACAACAGCGCCAAGAACCTTTTTGGTGGGAGAGAGATAGAGAAAGAAAATTCGAGATCTTAGTGATTCAATATGTGAATATATTTGAAATATGTGCATAAAATACGTGAGAGAATAAAAATCAAAACAAAAGTGAGATAAATTTCGTGCGAAAGTGGCAAATGGCCACTTTGCATGGCGACAAACACGCCAAAGGCAGATAGCACAGCCTTCATGGAGTCGAGTTGCCATAAGCAATCGCGAAACCACAAATTCAATGCAACAAACAACAACAGCAAATAAACATCACTTGTAATGCATACGACGGCACTTTGCAACAAAAGGACAACAACCATGACAGCAACAAACATAACACACACAGAAAAGAAAAGATAAAAATATGTCATACCGATGCAAACAAGTCCAGCGAGACAGTGAAGAACTTCGCTCCCGATATGGACACCGCTTTCTGGCACTGCTGGCAAACGATCTGAACAAACGTCTTGGCCTCCTCGGAGCCATCATACCAGTGGCACGAATAGGCTGCCTCCATGACGGATGAGCTCTGCGGGTAATCGAGTAGAGAATGAGACGAAAACGAAAATAAAAGCACAAATAAAATGTGAAAAATAGTAAATGAAAAATTGCAAAAAAAAAGGTTTCCGTTGAAAGTGAAATAAAGTTTATTCTGGACGTTGAAAACGCAAGTAAACTCGAAGACAGACCCGCGTTTAGTCGTGTGGAAGACGTGTGAGTTGTAGAAGTACGTCAACAAGCTGGCGAGGGTTGTCCATAAGTTTTTGCACCTCGGTTTCATAAGTTGTAATTCTGTGACGATTTCACTCATTTTTGACTTTAAAAAACATCTCCATTTCACTTCATTTGAATATCTTACATATTGACTCATACGGTATAAAGTCAACTGAAAGATCGAAAATTCGTATAGATATAAGGGAAGTACTGGACCGATATCAGTAATTTTTACCGCTATGCAACATTATTATATTAAATCTATTAATATATCTTAAAATATGTACACAAATTGTCTTTAAAAAAGTCTAGGAAAAGTAAAGTCAGATTTTGAACATATTAAGATAAGAGTTCCCACACATTGACAACAACTATTTGTGCTAAGTGGGAGAAACTCTTGTAATTTAAATTTTGTTAAACGATACTAGGCGTGGTTAATTCTAGGGAAATGTCACTGGATAAAATTGACCTAGTCGTTGGTGAGATAATAGATTTATCCTAAAAGTGTGAAATGCCACGCAAATTGTCCAATTCATATTGCTGCAAGCCTGCTCTATCATCCTTATCAATCTTGCTGAACTTCCAGAAAGGGACATGGTTATCAATAATTTAAATGTCCATAGAATATGAGTAGACCAAATTTAATTCTGAGAGCCTTAACTCGCCTCTAACGAAACAAAATTTTGTATGTGATATTTCAGTCTTATCTAAAGAGTTTAGAAAAATCTATAAAACAACATTGATTTATTTCCTAAGTGCCTCCCCAATATGCATACGATTTTTTCTTGTTTATTTTACTTATATTTTTTTTCACAAACAAACAGCAGAAAAGTAAAAATCCTGAAAGTGTCTGGAAAAAAGTTAGAAAACTCGCAGTGAGGAGACAACAACACAGGCGGAAGTGTGTCGAGTGCATATCCGCGCATAGTTGCTTGCTTGAGGAGTGCTGTTTGCCCACGTATCCGCATCACTTCCGCTAGTTGCATTTTAGTAAAAGTTTGCTATTTTTGTTTTCGTAATTTTATTAGTTTATCAATTTTTTCGCGAGGCTCTGATTTCCATTTTTGTTGTCGCATAGGGAATTCCAATGCGCTCCTCTCTTTAGTAGCGATGTAAAACAATTTACTTAGGTTTCAGTTCTATTTATCAGACGATTGCACTTAAAGCTTTCAAGTATTTCTCATAAAAATGTTTGCCCACTGTTTAAAAGTTACATATTTACTAATGAAAATACATACAGTGGTGGTCAGATAAATGTATAACGAAATTTAGAGACGCTAGCGAGGTATTTTATTCCTACCTCGTTCTCGTATCTTACATGAACAATAACATTAACGTTGATATGAACCTTAACATTAACACTAATGTTAACCTTAACATTAATATTAACCCTAACATTAACATTAAGCTTAACAATTACCAATGATATCGAGCTGGGATCGAGTGACGAAAACCTGTTAGTAGCTGAAATGGTTTCTTTGTATATCTTAACGTGGGAAGCAGTAAGTGAATGTACAAGATAGCCAGTGAAGGTGAAACTTCTCGAACTCAAAACAGAGTCGATTTCGAGATGCTCCGATTCTTCAGCATGAATAGCATAAGTTTTGAATATGCCTTGTGATCCAATCCTATAAAGTGTGGAAGTCGCATTATAATTTGTTTCGAAATCATAAAGGCTTTCATCTCTAACATCCTAAATTTTTCCTAACAATTATCTGACCACGAGTGCATGTACATATTTGCTTCTATCTAATTATCTCCTTAAAGGATCTATGTGCGTACATATGTACTTATATATTCATATATAGATAAATATTTACTATATAAATATGTATAATTTTCTTTATATATACCCCCTTATGGGTGTTGGTAAGCCTTATTACCACTTGGTCTTTGAAATTTCTATTGATTTGATTTATAGTTTCCGCATTTTCGACATTCAATGCCCAGTTAAAAATCGTAAGCATTAGTGATTACAGTATGGTTGTCGGAGTATTTTATCTACTTTTTCCATTTCTGTATAGATAAAAAAAGTAATAACCATTGCCAATAGAGCAATGCCCACTAAGCCGTTGAAATATATATAGCGTCGAAAAGTTGATAAAGTGTAAGCTTTAAATTCTCTGCAGATTTATGTCGAGCCAGTAAAATGTTAATATTTTAAAGTAATATATTATAGCAACAGCGACATTTAAATATCATTCCGATTGTATACTAAGAGGACTATCAAATCATACTCGACTCTAAAATTACCCGATTAAAATTTTAAAATGACCAACAATTATTAATTTTAAGTAATCTAAACTGCGTAGAGGTGCGGTTCCTTTAGTTTCAAAAATTGCACTACGTTCTCATGGATAAAATCGTGCACAGATAGTACGCTGAGTTTTCAGCTCATTTGCTACGAAAATGGTTGAAGTTGGTTTTCCATTTTCACGAAATATGATTACTAAGGAAAACAAGAATTGGCAACGAGGGTTGCCGAGAGAAAAGCAGAAGTTCTGTCTTAAATTCCCGAAAGGTGGGCGAGGCTTTGTATTATTATGGATTTGATGGAGAGATCTTATGAACTATTAAATATATTTCAACACAACTTAATGAAGGCATTCTATTGCACAAACAACACTAACCTCTCTTAAAATGGTACTACGTAAATTATAGGCAGAATGACAAACAGATACTTCAAATTGTACTTACGCTGAGGATCATAACTGTACATTTGCTTAATGCCTATGATTTATTATAACTTCTAGACATATATTTTCCATTTGTAATACTTTATAATTTTTCCTTCACCCATACTCACCTCCTCAATGAGCCGGTTGCCAAATATGCAGAAGTGAAATACTTGCGCCAAGGCATAACCCAAGTAGCCGATGGTCGTGAAGGCGTAAACATTGACGCCGGTGATTTTGGTGGCCTGATACGCCAACAACGTCAGCATAATGGTGGATGTCAACATGTGCAACAACAAAGCGCCGCCATAAGTGTCACCAATTGCTGCAACTAATCTGTGAAATGGAATTGAAAATTTGTGCAATTCATTTTTTTACCAAAGAGGGGGCAAAAATAGAAGGCAAAACGTAAGAATGAAAGAAAAATATTTTGGAAAAGTGCGATTGAAGACAAATTGCTGAGATTAGCGACTTGCTGGAGCCAGCGAAGTAAAGTGATGTAAGTACATATACGAGGTCTGTTAAAAAAATAAGGTGAATTTTAATTTTTCTCACAAAATATTTATTTATTCATCAATATATAATTTGTCCTCTTTAAAGTAGTCTCAGATATAATATACTTGTGCCAGCGTTTTTTCCAATCCTCGAAGCAGTTCCGATATGAACTTTTTGGTATGACCTTAAGCTCATGATTCGTCACCAGTTATTACTTTTTAAGCCAATCTGAATCGCCGTTGACGTCATTGCACAATTCCTAAGCGATGCTCATGTGACGGTTTCCGCAAAATGTCCATTGAATGAGCCAACCAATCTACTGAAATCTGCAGCAACTTCTCTAATAGTGATTCGACGATTCTCCATGATTTTCTTCAACGTACGTCGTCATTCACACTCCTCGACCTTCTTTGAAAAGCTTGTACCATTTGTAAACATTTTTTTGACTTATACTCACCGTATGCCACTGTCAATATATCAAGTGTTTTTGAGTATTTAATTCCATTTTTCACTCACAAAATTCAATGCAAATTTGTTGATCCATTTTTTTCGAAAGCCGAAAATCGCCGAACACGCAAAACACGCCTAACTTTTCTGCCTCGCTCAAACAAAATAAATATGCTATATATTTAGCTGAAACTGTGAAAATATGTTCGAGACGAGTGTACCAACATAACAAAATTAAAAAATCCGTAAACGAATGTGCGTAGCTGCACAATTTGAAAATTAACCTTACTTTTTGAACAGACCTCGTATATGTACATACATTAGGATGTCCGTTGTTATTCAAGGTTTTTTTCACAAGCGCCTTGAAGTTTCAGTTCTTGCCTAAATGCAAGTATCCAATGCAAAGTAGCTCTTTATTTTCAATTCAAGCTCTGCCTAAATTATATCTCTTTGCCAATGTATATAAAGTTGATGTTTATTTATATACAATATTTGCATTAAGTAAGTGAACCTACAGCTTTGAAAAAGTAATATTCTAACACAAACATTTCCGCTCTACAATAAAGCTTTTCATGATTTTTTCTGAACATTCATACAAGTGATTTATGCGTTTTGTTTTGCTCAAACGTGTACGTATGGTGTACCGTTTTGAATTAGTTACATTTCATGATAAACTTTAACTTCGTAAAATTTTTAAAAGAATGTTTTTAATGAAAACAAAAAAACAAGAAAATACGTTAACTTCCTTGGCACCCAAGCTATAATACCATTTACAAATACAAAGGCTCCTTACAAGAACTTGATGCCGATTGTTCAATTTGTATGGCAGTTATATGCTATAGTGGTCCGATATCGGCCAAACGAGCAGCTTCTTAGTAAGAAAAGGACAGGTGCAAAATTTCAGATCGACACCCTAAAAGCTGAGGGACTAGTTTGTATATATAGAGACAGACGGACAGACAGACAGACATTGCTAAATCAACTCAGCTCATTATCATGCATTAATAATATTATAGGCTCTTCGACGTTTCCTTCTAAAAATTTCGTGAAAAACTTAATACACCCTGTTCAGAGTATAAAAGCGTTAACTTCGGTTGCATCAAGCTATAATACCCTTCACAAATACAAAAGATTCCTTACGAGAACTGAATTTTGATCGATCAGTTTGTATGGCAGCTATATGTTTATAGTGTCCGATATCGGCGGTTCCGACAAACAAAAAGCTTCTTGGGAAGAAATAGACGTGTGCGAAATCGATATCTTGTAAACTGTGGGACTAGTTCACTCATATACAAATAGACGTATAGACAGACGAACATGGCTTAATTGATCAGCTCATCATGATGATCATTTATATACATACATATATACTATATAGGGTCTCCAAAGCTTCTTTCGTTTCCTGTTACAAACTCCGTGGCACAAATAATATATCCTGTTCAGTGTATACTAAAGAGCTTATTTGCGTTAGATCCGTTTTTAGAGCAAAAACTTGGAAAATAATGTTCACCGTAATAGGCATCAGAGGTGTGTTCAAAGAAAAAGGTAAATTTTGATTCTTCGCGGGCTGTGTACATTCGATTATCTATATATTGTTTTTGTTACAATCGGACACATAGGTATGTTTATCATGTGCTTGCTTTAGGAGCAAATTTCGATTAGTAGTTTGTTTTTGACAACAGAAAAGGTTAGGCACGTTTTTATGTGCTCTACGATTTTCGACTTTTGAAAGAAATGGATCAAAGAATATGTATTAAATTTTGCGTTAAAAACGGAATAAAGCGCTCCAAGGTGCTGGTTGACTGTGGCATTCGGTGAGCCCACTTTGTCTCAAAAAAGTGTTTATAAGTGGTACAAGCGCTTTATAGAAAGCCGAGAGGATGTTGATGACTGAATTGTTATTGAAATCGTGGAATCAGTATTAGGGAGGTTACAGAGGATGTTGGCATATCAATCGGCTCATGTCATTCAATTTTCTCAAGTGTTTTTTTGAAATTGCTAAAATTTTAGCAAAAGCATAAAAGCAGATTTGGCTCCCTGCGACTTTTTCCTATTTCCAAAACTGAAGCAATCAATAAAAGGAAAGCGTTTTGCCACAATTGATGAGATCAAGTCAGTAACGAAGAAAGAGCTGATGGACATACCGAAAAGCGCATTTCAGAAGTGCTTCGCGGATTGGATAAAGCGTTGGCACAAGTGTATTATATCCGAGGGAGATTACTTTGAAAGAGCCAAAATAGATATTGATGAATAAATAAGTAATTTTCAAAAATTCAAAATTCACATTTTTCTTTGAACACACCTCGTACATATATTTATATAAGTATATATATACATACATATATATTTATTTATATACTAACTTCATTTGTTTAAATACAGTGCAAATAACTGTGCTTGAGCCTTGAGTATAGCCAGTAAGTGAGTGGGATTATTAGCGCTTACACACACAAACTCATATACACACACACTTATGCATACAGGCTTTCTACTTGTAGGAATAACTCTTTGTCGCTGAGAATAGTTGCAGTTGTGTTTTGTGTCTGCATAAATAAATCACGCATAATAATTAAAACACAAATAACACATTCAACGGTTATGTCGTTAAGTAAATACTTAAATGCATATGAGCACAATTAATGACATTATTTAATATTTACGGTGATAGCTGTGTGCACGTGTGTGCGCATAGGCCTGTATACATATGTATGTGTTAAAGTTACAAAGTTATGGGCCTTAATTGATTAAGTAGCGCCTATAAGTGTGCAATCAATTAAGTTTATGCAAAAGACTAAGTACTTATGTATGCTTACGTGTTCACAGAAAAAGCAATTAATTATTATTTGAGTGATATGTATGTGAAATCGGTGTAATTTCACTGAGCAAAGCTATATACAATTGTAGCATAAATATGTTATGAGAGTAGCATATAAACATTTATCGAAGAGGGTTGCCAGTAGATGTTTAGGCTACAGAAATTTTCAGTGTCATCATAAATTGTTTGAAGGCATAGCTTTGGTGTCATTCTTAGATAAATAAAATTAAAAAATGTAAGGAAGACTAAGTAAAGATGTAACCGAACATGTTATATTGTCGCAAGGTAACGTGCTATACGGTGTTTTTGCATATTATTTAATTAAAAGTTGGAAGTATTGCATCGCTTATTTACAATCACAGGCAAGAAGATACACTATTATTAGAAAGAGATTATATCGGAAATTCATTAAGATTTCTTATATATTGACCGATAGTTACGATATAAAGTCAACCGGTAGTTCGACAGTATTTATATTAGGTGGTTGGAGGCTAAATGAAGATTTACCCATTTTTGGCACGAAGGCGTGCTGTTACCACAAAATAATCAGTCATACCCATTGTATTACACGTATTTTCAGAGTGCTTAAAAATTTATTGTCCGATTTCATAAATTTTTGAATGTTAGATTAAATACCTTAAGGACACTAAAAATGTATGTAGATAAATTTAAACGTATCGACAGTGAAAAACAAAAGTTAAAAAGAGCTTATGTAGTGAATATATTTTTTGAAATCAGTAGCCACATATTTTAAAAAATTATTGGACAAAATTGATCAAATAAATAAATTATTAGAATATGAACAATAAACTCAGTAGGTTTAAGATGGCTTATAGTTTACAATTTGTCTGTGAAGGATTGCCTGATTGCGCAAAACTTTTAAGTAAAATAAATTTTAAGATAAATATTCACTACAATATCAGTACCAAGCTGCCGGAGTTGGAGGTTACCACCTATTTAAAATTTTAACTCAATAAAATTGAATTGATGAGTTATGCATTGAATATTTTTTTTAATTTTTTACTTAAAATTTTAACATAGTGAGATATTTTATGTGAATAATTATAGCTTTTAACTCTTTAATGAACCTTTCTAGAGTATTTATGTCAAATAATGAAGACATGTGCAAGCTCTCCCATTGGCTATTTGTGGATATTCAATTTGAGCCTTTCAAGGTTAAGTGCATACTTACACAGTAGGAATATATCAATAGTATTAATAATTTAATGTCGACTGTAATTGCAGCAAATGTTTAAGGTCTCTTGATACACGTCACCCCCTTATCGGTTCGGTATCACTATCAGTGAAAAATGAAATACGGTTATCAATATATTTAGTTGTCTTTTTAAGAATATTTAAAAAAAAAATTAAAGCTTGTTATGGGAAAAGTATTAATGGTGCTGAAAAAGTACCGGTGATAGACAGGATGTAAGTGCTTTGTGGTTACGTATCAATATTGATTGCAACTGATACTGACACGACACGACGCTTATACCTAGTAGATACGGAACTGGTGTAATTGAAAAGAGAAATAAACAAGAAAAAAACTACGGTTGCACTGACGCTATAATACCCTTCACAAATGAAAAAAATTGCCATACAAGCAATTGATTCCAATCGTTCAATTTGTATGGCTACTAAAAACTATAGTGGTCCAATATCGGTCGTTCCGACAAATAAGCAGCTTCTTGGTGAGGAAAGGACAGGGGCAAAATTTCAAATCGATAGCTTAAAAACTAAAGGACTAGTTCGCATATATACAGACAGACAGACATCGCTAAATCGACTCAGCTCGTCACGCTGATCATTTATATATATAATTTATATTGTATCCCTAACATTTAAAAATATTGAATAACTTTCTGGGATTGAGCAAACTATACTTCAGCTACGGCATTTCTTTCTCTCTTTCTCTCGCGTCAAAAAATATACAAATGACTGTAGCTTTTATTTACAAAATAGTATGTGAATACTTCCATATAGTCGTATAAACTCCGTTCCTCCTTTCTCTATTTTAATATGCCATTCTGATATATTTATACCAGTTATTTTTCGATTCGCCCTCCTCCAAAGTTTGTCGAATCGAACTCAGTTTACACATAAACACTTGACAAGATATATTGTATAATGGTAGCTGCTGATCTTTGATGTTCCTTATTGCTCTTAATTACGACAGTAGAAGGATATATCGAAAGTAGAAGAATATCTCGGGTGGATGCTTCCAAAAACCAACTGAATACTTCAAACTTGCTTTGTAACCAGCAAAACTGTTAAGACAAATAGTTTCCACCATTTACAATGCGCTAAAATTAAATTATAGCAGTAAATGGCCGAGCGTTAGCACAAAGCTCGTTCGAGCAAGTACAGCTAACAGCACACCAAACCAACCAAAATTAGTTCGGAGTCCGGACGGCGGAAGTGCCGCAATTGAAGAGTCAAGGAAACGGAAATGAATGTACAACACAATTTGTTTTTGTTGATGTTTCATTGTTTGCTTGCTGCACGGGCGTACAGCTTCTGCAGAAACATCAGCTGAACCATCAGCGCTGAGTGTGGAACGAGTTTGACCTGATAGTGCGTGTGAGTAGGGTTGTATGTGTGTTTATGTAGCTGCAACTCAATATAATGCAAATATTCTAAATATCGACTGTTTGCGGAGGCGCACAGATTGTTGCTGTTTGCTGTGATTGCAACGGCAGCTTTTCATTGCTTGCTGCAAAAACAGCATCAACAATTTCTCGCCGTTTATTTGATGAGGGCAATGAATTGAAATTGAAAATTTAAATTTCCTTCCCAATCAACGGCTTCCGTTCCAGTTAACGGACACAGCGGGGTGAATGTCTGAAGAGTGCAAGAAGCTGGAAAAATAGTGCGTTGGTGTATGGCTTGGTGTACACACATCAATACATGAGTGTGTGTGCTTATTGTTATTGGTATTAGTGCTTTTTAATATTTTTGATTTCGTTTATGTATTCTTTGTTGTGATGATATTTTTCTGTGACTTACCGCACCACGTGCTTATGCCGCTCGACCCAATACTTAATGGCGCTGCGCACCATCATTTCCTGCTTTCTAGTCAAACCATTCGGATTCGCACCGTTCATGCCATTGAAGGTTTGCAGAGTCGATGGCGCACGGAATTGTGCACCCCAATCAGCCTTAGAGCTATAGACGCCGCTGATGTCCAGATCAGTGGGTTCCTTCTCTGAAAATAAAATAAAGCTTGCGAACGATTTATGGAATAAAGTAGACCACTTTTAATAGCTAATGAATCCTAAAAATCTCCTGATGCTAGTGGAGGCAAACCTGAATAGGTTCAGACAGGTTTGTAGCCTCCTCAAAGATAAATTAAGACCACTTACGAGGTCACATTCACCAAACTGACTTACAGTCGTTGAACACGCAGTGATTGCAAAATAAGGACAAGGTCGTCGGAGTAACACAACCGCCAAGTTAATTTGTCACCTTCATTACAGTGAGACCGTCTTCCTATTTTGCGACTGGAAGAAGCGATAAGAGTCACGGACTAACAATAAACCAATGGTCGCAGGGCGTATCTCTTGCTTATGATATTATTAGAAGATGCTAGCCTTCAAAAGTTACTTGCAATCGATAAACATTGATTCAAATTTAAACAGATAGCTATTCCATATGTATATTCCCGACTTAAGGGCTTACTACAATGTTTGTTCATTTAAGCTGGGATCTGTACTGAGTGAATTGCAATTTGTGAAGAATGTTGACAAAATAGAAAACTGGATAAAGAGTTGAGAGATGGAGCTACCTGATGGTTCTAAGTGCTGGATAAACTATAGCAATAAAATGATAATATAGTAAACCATCACCGCCCTACTACATATATTACAACTAGGAATGAAATTAAGTGGAAGAAGCAAATATAACAGATTCGAGCTCACAACTGGCTTCGCAGGTATATATAGGACAAAAATTTGCAAATAAATTTTCTCTAGAGAGAGAAGCAATTGGTTTTCAAAAATTACATACAATATACTGCAAGAAACACGGATGAACGTGAGTAGGTCGGAACAGACTGGACTCGGATTTATATATGCAAGCGAAATGTCAGCTTGACAGCATTCCTCAAAAGTATTTTTAAGAATATAGAATAAAGAGGGCCCACTTACAAGTTTTAGCTTATTATGAGCAGCAGCAGCAGCAAAATCGTCTAGTATAAATTATTTTTACTCACCCTCATTGTTGATTAATTCCGACTTCGAATTGGCGGATAATGAACGAAAGAGTGCCGCCGAATTTGGACGATAGGTGTCCAGCGAGGCTGACAGCTCCATTAATGGCTTCATAATGCCTTTCAGATGTTGCAGCTGTTCGCAGGCGAAAATCAGCCACGAACAAAAGAGTACATCGCACAAGTTCGAATGCACCATGGAGAAGAGCAAATAGTAGCATTGAAAAGCGAAGCTTATAATATAAAACATGCCCACACCGGCATTCCACGGATAGAAAGACTTAATCGGCAAACGCGGGATTTCCACGGTGATGGTCGAATTGGTCTCCTTTTCGAAGGCGAATTTCACACTCTCGCCAAAGAAGGTGATGGTGGTCCAAGCTGAAATATATTGATATTAAGCAAACACAAGTTAGCGAAAACTAATCTAAAATTATCCTTTCCGGTGCGACACTCACCCACAGCCGAGGCGACGGTCGTAAGCATTACCAAGGTGAAGAGTTTACGCATTTTGGCGAGGGCGATCGCGTGGTAGCGTGCGTCCGACTCGGCAAACAATGGATGCGAGTTTACCTGATTCCAGATATTCAATGTTCTGCAATTAAAATGCAATGAATTTTATAGCAAGCAATTAAAGTTGGCGCACACGCGCATAATAAGCCATAATCGGCTGGCGGAGTGCTTGATTGTGCGGCTAATTAAACGAGTTCACGCGTCGCCGGAAGCGCCACTCGCCGCTGCTGCGGTGTCACGCGCCATTCCATTTCAACTAAGCGAGCTCGCTATTGTAATGCTTGGATTATTTCTTACGATTAGTTACCCGCGTTGCCGTTCAATTTAAGCCGCCAGTTCGCATTATTTCACAATTACAGAATTTTTTGCGTTCCATTTAATATTGCTGCTGTCTCCTTGCAACAATATAAACTATATTAAAAGATGTTGTTTACCACTCACCTGTAGAAGTTCTTCTGAGTCACAGCCAAATATATGAATTTCGTTATGCTATGTGTGAAGAAAAGCACCGTAATCGTGTTGCCGGACAACTCATTCACCTCATCCGCATTCAACGCCATATTCACCAGTATCAACAGAAATTGCACCAAAACAAGCACCAAGTGTATAGACGAGTAAATCTTCTTGAAGAACCCAGAACCGCCGGTGAAATTGTGCATAAATAGGCCCGAGTATTTCATAAGACGAATGTTGGGCATCAAATCGGCCACAAGGCCCACATATTTGCTCGGCTGCATGTTGAGATGATGCTTTGGTACACTGAAAGTGAAAGAAAAGTTGAGAAACTCGATTGGACTTCCTATTTTTATGACAGCTATATGCTATAGAAACCGTTCAGAACAATTTCTTCGGAATTTGCATCGCTACCTTAGATAATAATGAGTCGCAATCTTCGTAAAGAGATATCTCGTCAAATAACTAAGTTTTCTATCTAAAAAGAGGTACTTTTCTCAATAGTCTTGTTTTGACAGATCACGCGAGAGTCGATTTGGCGCCGTTCGCAGCAACTCGGACTGACGTGTGGAATGACTTGACGCATTTTACGTCGAGATCATAAATTGAAAGCGTACCGAATACAGCTTGTGCAAGAAGTGAAGGCACTCGATCTTCCCAAGCGATATCGCTTCGCTCTGTGGGCTCTTGAAAAGTTCGACGTTTTGTTTTTGTTCAGCGATGAGGCCCATTTCTGGCTCAATGGGTATGTAAACAAGCAAAATTGCCGTATTTGGGACGAAGAGCAACCTGAAGAGGTTCAAGAGCTGCCATTTCATCCACAAAAAAAACGGTTTGTTGGCCGGTGGAATCATCTATCCAAAAATCTTCAAGCCATGATAACCGACAATTTGATGTCTGAAAGCTCGGTGATCTCGGCGACATTTGGTTTCAATTCCCACATATCGCATTAATCAATAGATTTATTGAGAGAACACTTCAATGAGCAGATAATTATACTTATTGGGTCGGCTGATTGGCCACCAAGATCGTGTGATATCACATCGTTAGACATTTTTCTGTGGAGATATGTAAAGTGTAAAGTCTAAACGGACAATCCCGTTTCGATTCAGGCCTTAGAGAAAAACATGAAGCGTGTCATTCGCCAGTTAACGGTCGAATGAGTCATCGAAAATTGGATTTAACTAATGGACCATCTGAGACCTAGACGCGACCAACATTTGAAAGAGACTAGAAGGGGGGCTGATCGCATTAATTTGGACGTTGCTCAGGTATACTTGAGAACATATTTTCAAGCAATTTTTTAAATACAAATATATAACTCACAAACTGAACGACATATTTGTCATGAAATCTGTTAAAAAACGGAAATCATTATATGTAATTTATGGAAGCTGAGCTTAGTATTAATCAGATTTTATTTATTTTTGCCAATATCACATAATATTAACATGCCAAAGACTAATAAAATTCTTCAAGGGTTTCATTCAGGTACCTCACATACCATCATGAATCATATAGATTCAATATTCTGATAATATTGTAGATACGTACTGTAAGTATTGACCCGATTCTACCCATATTTGACATTGAGACCTACTATTATCACGAAAGGATTATATAGCTCACACATTGACTGATATTTTCGGTAAAAAGTAAACTATAGGCCCTGTGATTCACATATTCGGTATCTAGGGGCTTGAAAAGATTTGTTCTCTGCAAATTTTATTGATATACAATAGCTTTATTGGTTTGGAAAATTTAGACATTAAACCTATTGGAGAGCGGAGCCACGCCTACTTTTTAAAGATTTTCAAACCAAAGGTTTCCCATTTTTAATGTGATTCGATGTGCCAAATTTTAGTTTTGTATGGGCAGAGGTCCGCTTACGCCCATCTACGAAATCGTCCTTAATTTTTTGCCAAGGAACATGTGTGCTAAGTTTCATTAAGGTATCTTAATTTTTACTCAAGTTATAGCTCGCACGGACATACAGTCACCCCGAGTGTATAACCCTTAATCTGACTCGATTAGTTTTAGGTGATACAAGCAAGCGTTATGTGAACAAAACTATTATACTCTGTAACAACATGTTGCAAGAGTATAATTAATAAAATACAATAATATAAAATAAAGCAAAATAAAATATAATTACTAATATAAGATATCAAAGGAAATAAGTAAAACAAAACACAATAAAATAAAATGAACTAAAAATAAAAAATAAAATAAAAGTAAAATAAAATACAATTAAATAAAACGAAAATAAATAAAAAGAAAGGAAAATTTAATAATAATAACTTAATTAAATAAAGTGAAATCTAAATAAATTGCAAATAAAAATGTATGAAAAAGTAAAATAAAATTATCTAAATTTAATTAATACGAGTAATAAAGTAAAATTAAATAAAATGAATTAATATCAAAAATAACATTTCAAATTCTAGAAATGTAGAAAAAATTCAGGCTCAGAAAAAAGCTTATATTTTTTGTTAAGTAAATACATTTTAAGTCCCACATTTAAGCCATTATTATGTTCATTAAAAATCACCTTTTTTAAATTATTCTCTTATAGTGGTCAACTTATGTTTAAAATATTTTGTTGTATATTTTATAAAATATTTTCTGAGCTCATTTTCGCAGCTTTATTCAGTAAATAAGTCTATTTGTAAAACTTTGCATTTTTGTTTTTAACTTTTAACTTCTTTAACTTTTCAAGCTTATCTTATCGATATTTATAAAAGCACTTAAATTTTTTATTTTTTGTATTTTATTTATCGCTTTAAAGCTACAAAAATTGGTTTTTGATAAAATTTTTATTTTAAGCACTGAAACTTCTTATTTATTATTTTTGTGTTGAAAATTTCTAAAACGAGAGCAGCTATTACCAACCGCCTACGCGTCTGTCACGTAAATGTAACACCGAACTAGTTGACAGGGGATTTTCTAGCAGAACTTTAAAATTCATTTAATGCCGAATCAATCAAACACCAACCGGACACTTTCTCACGTGTGTATGTATATTTTTGTACATACACTCGGCCATTCATAAAACGAACGACGTGTCCTTAACGGTTTTATGGTGAAAGGAAAAAGAGAAGAGTGAAAAAATCTCTTCTCATGCTCATAATAAATGCAGAAATCTACTTAACGCACATAGCCATATGTGTGTGTGTGTGTGGCATAAGCGAATATGCGACCTTTAAGCGGCCGCTCACGCACCATACACACATACATATACGTACAGGTCTAAGCAGCCAAGCTAGCCATTCTGCAGCTGCTAGTTTGGGGCTAAAATACACGAGTATTTGTGTGAGGTCTCGGTGGTTTCGTGCATTACTTAGTATGGGTTAAGTAGCCTAATGGGACGCTGTTAAGGACGCAAGTCCGTCTGAAGAACAATTAAAGCCAGCTTGCGCATATCACCTTAGCTCAGATTCAAATATGCAAATGCAAACACACACGCACAACGTGCGAACGTAGATGCCATGAGATTGTATACTCCTAGTACGAAGGTCGTTGGTAAATCAATGACTGCTTGAAATTTATCTGAAATCATTTTAAATATGAATTCGTCAGTGTAGTTCAGTCACTTTCGCTGGGACGCCCTTCAGCTCCAAGCAAATTGGCGCAGTGGTGACTTCACGGAACAACCTCAAAAGATAGAGTTCCGTGAGTATAATTCGTATAAATCATTTAAAAGAATCAAACAATCCGTAGGGGCCCTTTCCAATTTGGAGAAAGCAAGTGATGTGCTGATTTTAATATTTCTAATTATTTCGAATCAAATTCGGCTTATAGAGAGTTAACCTAACCTAATCTTTAAGTCAAGATAGTTTAAGAATACTTTGTTAGCTATCCTCGTACTTATTCATAGACATTCGGCATAATTATATTATATATGTATATTTCTATATCCATGCGGTTGACACACATTGACCCGCCGATATTGATATTGAATATTGAAAAGGTCATTAAAAATTCCACTAAATATCGACTTTCTCTTTGGTCAGTATTTAGTTAGATATGTAATATCACACACACTTTTACAATCTTTCATGTGACGAGTGGCTTCGTGTGTGCCACAAGGCATGCGGGCTTGTCCCAAAATTCCCACAATTATAGGCCACATAGTCCAACAACCGCTACCAACGCACATACGAGTGTATTGAAGAGACTCGGTTAACATTGAACGATGGCGAAGTTGATAGGGCTCGACACAACACATAATATTAACTTTCATTAAAATACTATTCAAAAGATGTTGTTTGTGAATAGTGGATAGTGAAGGAGAGGAATGAGGGAAAGTGGCACATCAAATGGCGGTCAAGGGAAGACAAATCTAAAATGCAAATTATAATATTACTTTTGAGTAGCAAAATGGGACTGTCCAAACACTCGACTGCAATGTTGAACGCCTTTTAGCCTCAATGAGCGTTGAAGTACTCATACGCAAGATGAGGATACATATAATTGAAAATATTAAAACATAAACAAAACATATATATAAGTTACTCATTTACATAACTTTTTTGCATTTCTGGACACAGTTGAGTCCAAAATAAAATATGCAAATTGAATAAAAAAGAAGAAAATATCCATACCTTCGGCTTTATAACTTTTTTGATTACAAGCAATCTCATTCGTATTAAAGTTCGACATTTGATCTACGTATGGTTTAAATTATTCCATTAATAAGTTTTAGGCAGATATCTCTAAACTTACGCCACTACTTCGTTAAAAACAAACGTAGCGACGGATGAGGTTCTTAAGCCTCAGGAACAATGGCAGGCACGGAAGTCATTAGAACATATATACAGACTTTTGAATTAAGCCTTTTATTATTCTATCTATTTAACATAGGGCTTTCACGGCAATCAACTATTTGAAGCTCTTGCTGCGAGCGAAATTAATATTACCGATGATTAAAAAATAGTTCAATAGTTTTGATGGTCATTAATGTAAGTCGGAAGCTAGAGCTATGGCACTGCAAGAAAACTTACAGTACGACCATGATTTAATTCACCAGCCCAAAAATCAACGGGGCGTTTTGAATGTTAGGAGTCCTATACACTTCTAACAATTCTTTATAAATTTCCTTTACTTTTAAACCTTTCAAAACAAGGAATCTAGTCATTGCGCGATATTAAATTTTTTCCATATTAAAAAAATGCTCTGACACGTCAACTTCAAATGGCTTATAAATAAAGAATTAATTGACAGATTTTGCATATGTCCTTTTCTCCCCAAGAAGCTGCTCATTTTTCGCATATAACTGTCATACAAACTAAAAGATCGGAATCAAGAACTTGTATGGAAATCATTTTCATTTAAGGAGATATCTTCAAGAAAGAACACTATAACATGTAGTTTCCATACAAACTGAATGATTGGAATTAAGTTTTTGTAAGCAATATTTTGTATTTGTAAAGAGTTTCACACAGTCCAAAGATTTCTACTACTCCTTATCTCTCGGTTCCCGACGTTTTACTCACTTAAGATTCTTTTCGTAACTTCTCGTCACCCGTAAGGATCTCCCTAACTACAATACTTTACTTATTTACATACATCTAGCCATTTTTAGAGGATTCTCGCACGTCTTTAAATGTATGTATTAATAATTCAAAATTAATTTACCTTAATTGTGTGATTTATTAAAAATTTATAAATTATACATTTCGCCATTTCAGCACTTGTTGTATGTAGTAGTAAAGATAACGGTACGCACCTTTTAGGCGCTTGAAATTAGTGATAATCAAATCCTTTTAAATACAGCTACCCAAAACGGATAGAAATCGGGTCGCGTTATGGCGACTGATTGATCTACAGAAACTTGGGGAAAAGAGCTGGTTGTAGGTAAAATAATGTGAACTCATTTCTCGTTAAAACCATTTCTCCATTGCAAAACTTCCTCAGACTATTTTCTGATTAAAATCATTTGAAATTTATGCATATAACGAACGAACAAAGAGGTAAGTACTCGAAAGGAAAATATTTCAAAGAGCCAGGAACGGGTGGAAGTAGGGCTTGAGGAAATGTATGTGCCTAGTTCTTTTTTAGTCAAATAGCTCTGTTACGAACGATATAGCAGACAAATTCACCTAATTTTCGTGAGTCCTATTTACTTACGTACGAACTAACGTGGCGCATTCTGATTGGTCGATCAAGCGAAACAGGAGCAATTAACAATGTGGAAAAAATATGCAATTAACAAAACGGGAGGCAATCAGAAAAGAGATCGAAATCTGTCAAAGAAGATAGAGCATAAATTACATATTTTCAATTCTAATCAACTAGAATATATAACGTTTATTAAATACACAATAAACACCTTAAAATACTGTTCTCATACTTAAGTATATTTAATGCAAATAATAAATATTTTTGAATTGAAAAAAAATCTCGGTTTTTTAATGATCTCTATATCTGTATATCTTTCTTTACTGTTATTGACATTTTTATGGTTGAAATTGGACTGAATAGTAGTTTTCAGAACTAACATAATAGTGAGTCAACTTTCTGTGTCACTACTGTCAAGGGAACGCACGATAAAACCGGGGGAGGCCGGGATCTATTGTGCAGTGCTAGATCTCAGGCGACCCTTCAAGCTGACGGAATACTGCTGTATCTTCCAAGCAGAAGTCTTTGCGGTCAGGAAAGCTATCAACACAGGAAACAACATAAAAAGGATAAATATATGCGTCGATAGCCAAGCGGCAATTAAGGCAATAATCTTACATCGCTTTGCGTCAGAGAATGTCCTTAGAATCAGGGACGCAGTAGTTATAGTGGCTGCATACATACTGGGTTGCAGGCTACAAATAGTTGATAAGATTGCCAAAAGGGCCATCCGCTGTACTACCGAACCAGTTCAGGAATACAAATTTCCAATACGCTTTACTGAAATAACTGGTCGTTTGATCTCAAGAACGTCGGAAACATTAGGCTTAATTTAATTTTTGAGGCAATCGCATTAGCTTAATCTCGATATACTATATTCTTGACCAGCCATTGAAAAAAAAAGAATTCGAATTTCTCAATTTAAATGAACAGCGTGATCAGCTGAGCCGATATAACAATGTCCGCCTGTCTATTCATACGCCAACTAGTCCATAATTAAATTTAAAAAAAAATTATTTAGATCGGATCACTTCAGCAAATAGCTTTAATACAAACTAAACGATCACAATCAATTTCCCGAAAATTAATTGGAAATTACTTTATTTGTGAAGAGTATTTTAACTTCTGTGCAACCGATAGTCTTTTTTATTCTTTTTACCATGTTCTTTTGTAAAGTTTCACCTGAGAAAATCTTGAAATTGTATAATTGCAGTTTAAAAACTTTTTCTAACAACGTTACTCCTTCCAACAGCTATTTAGGAAATTTTATTTGCACATATGTAAATGAATCTTGATAAAAGTTTAGAGAAAACGTCTAGGATAGGTTTCCTTTAAAATTGGCATTTCTAATATAATGCTTTCCACATTGGTCCAAAGAAGTTTAAACAAATTAGTTCATATGAAGCATCAAGAGTAACATAGACATTATTGAGACTCGTTAAGTCACAAACGAAATAAACTGTAACTGAAAGTTACATAGTAATTGCAATTCTAAACAAAACCCTCCCTTTCTTTCCTTCAAGACGTTAAAAAGCTGAAAAAGTGACGTATCCGTCTGTAATTTTACTGATCGGTAAAAATCAAGTCCTTTTATGGAAATCTCTTTTGCTTAGCGAGATATCTTCATGAAATTTGTCATAGATTATTGTCCAAGGCAGTGCTCTTCATATCGGCATACTATAGCATACATATAGGTACATTACAACCTGACTGATCAAAATGAAGATACGTTTCTTTTATAGCTTTTTATGCAATGCATTGTAGCTGCGGTGCTGCCAAAGTTAATGTTTTTCTTGTTTTGCTATGAAATGCACTTCAAAAAAAGTAACGAAATTGTAAGATATATTTCCATTTTCCAATTTTTGCTTAACTGCTTATTTCACATCCCGACTCTGTAATTCTTGTTTCATCGAACCGCATCGAATTCGTAACCACTCACTCTCTCTAATTCGTGGCTAAACTGGTTCAACTTTTTCTCAAAAACTGATTTCGACTAAACGTTATGTAACAGCAAAGTCCTATCAAAGCCCGTGTAATAAGTGAAATAAGTTGCCAATGCTGAAAGGAAACCAAAAGTAAGCAAATCAGATTTTCTTTTTTTAAGAACGGCTATCCTTTTTGTGGCTGTTGTTCAAATCTTGATTGCCTGTTCTTCACGAAAAAATCTCCATTTAATCTGTAAATCAAAGAAAAAATGTATCTGAAAGTGCAATTATTTGATTGAGGTAAAGTAAAGCGCTTATGTCGCACCACGAAGCGAGAAGAGACAAAATACCGATAATCGCAGCCAAATGTTAAGTGAAAGCGAGCGAAGCCATTCAAAAAGAATTTTGATATATTTCGCAAAGGCGACGCAGACCAAATTGGCCACTTTAAGTTTTAGTCTCATTCACTTCTATACAAACAAATATAGGATATGTATATATATAACATATATACATTTGTTTGTATGTTTGTGTATAATTCTTCAGCAAAGTGTCAGCAACAGATTTCCCATGCAAATAACAGACGTCCCTCATCTTCGTTTGACCGCATTTGCAGTGCTCGAAAGATATACTTGAATTATAAGCAAAGCTTAAGAAATATTTCATCAAACGAGCGTACATACGTACATCGTGCAAACAAACAGCAGCATATATATGTATGTGTATATGTCCGCAGGCAAATAAAGATTTATGAATGAATGCACAGATTTAGTAATGGACACTAGCCGGACCGGAAGTGCCCTTAACGGCTGCGTATGCTCGCATGCAGGCACTGTAATCCGTCTACAAACGAATATAAATATAAATTTGAGTATTTCGTAAAAAGAGATTTTGACCAAATGAGGTTAGGTTGAATAATTTTTAAAATCTTTTTTTAACTTTTTATTCTTTTTTGCTACTATTTTTTTAAGGTTTTTATAACTCATCCATTCTTGTATAATGTAATTAATTAGTTGATTAATTTCTCGAAACATTTTAAACTTCTATATGCCTTATCCATGTGATATCTATATAGTTATGTTAATAATATTTCGCTTGTTTGTTTGAGAAATTTGGTAATTTTTGGAGGCATCTTGTGTTTATTGGTATGAAATCTAAGACTCAGAAGATATTAAACTAAAAAAAGTAATAATAATAAAAAAAATTTTGTTTTGCAAAAATTAAAATATAGAGAAAAATATCGGATGATATATTTGATCCCTCGGTGATAAAAAAAAATATTTGACATTTGCCAAACGATGCTAGAGAAAATAATCGTAACTTTTCGGTAACTGCATAACTATATTTGATTCACAATGACCATTCCTTGATTTATTTTATAACCTTCTCTCGCTTCTTTCTTCTCTCTCTCTCTCTCTCTCTCTCCTTTTCCCGTTATTTATCCTTTTTCTCTGCTTCTGTCTTAAAATCATACAAAACTAAAGCATTTGGTTTCAGTAATACGTCATTTACCAAGCCCCCTTCTGTTAGCTAAGTTATTCCCAACTGTCGATGCGTAAAGAACCAAAAAATTTCCGAAGAAATTTCTTTTGAACAATGAGATAACATAATATATTATTAGATCGTTCACTAAGTAATTTCGTTTTTTTAGTGCAATTTAAGCAATATTTTTTAATTGTGCAAAACATTTAAAGAATTTATATATTCTACATTTTGATCCAATACCTTTTGCCATCTTTCGGGCAAGAGATTGATTCCACGTTCAAAAAATTTTTTATTATTGGAGGCAAAAAACTGAACCAAGTGGTTTTTGACGGTTTTTGGAAAAAAATCATATGACTCTTATTAGAAAACCCTGTGTTATTCCTCTAAATAATTAGAGAAACGCTTTATGCCAGTACAACAATAATAGTTATGCAAGTAAGTTTTGAAGCATTCTTCTATCCGGTTTCCATGGTAAAGTTATTTACAAATCTTTGCCTAACTTACCAGTTTTTACACAAAGATAACCCAGCTAATCTCGAAGCTTCTTAAATACGTTTTGCTCACACTCAAAGTGATTTAGAGCAGTAATAATGCTAATAACAACAACAAACACACAGTAATGTCACACTTATTACAGTGAAGATACAACAATAACTCATACCTAGTTCTTCAATTCTGCTACACCGTGTTCTGCTGTCAAGCTGATTATTTGAATTGGCCATAATATTATATCTTAGTGTCCGTCATGCCGCGCACCCGCGTGTCATTGTGTTAATTTAGGCCACTCAGAACGGCATGCTCAACATACAGACACATACATATGTGCAAATATCTTGTTTTAGTCCGCTATTTCTCTTCAGCATTGTTTTACTACTACAAAGGCAACAACAACCACATGTTAGCATAATATCGCTTCTCTATTGTTTCTGGCGTTCAATATAGCCTCAAGGTGCCATATAAGTGGGTGTATATATATATGTACTACATAGTAGTTTGTACTTTGTGTCACACCGCTACTTCCTTGAAGTTTATTTTCTTCCCTTGGCTTAGCAATTTGCACTTCCTTTTCGTACTTTATCCAGCCAACTACTCCTTAAGTCAGTGGCCGTCTTCAAATCCGCCGCTTTTCTTCGTTCGCTTCGTTCGACAACGTGATTTGCTTAACTATGGTATCTATGCTGTGGGTTAAGTTGTTGTACGTAAGCATGAAATGCTGTGCGATAGCATAAATAGTAACGGTAGCTTAAAATGCTCATTGCTATTTGCACGTCGCGCCGGCTCTGCGGTCGTTTGGCTCCTGCTTTATCATTTTTATTATTTTTCGCTTGTTGGCCACAAGTCAGGGCATTTAAGCAAAACGAATTCGAAAATATTTTGCGGAGCGTGTAAGTGTTGAGCATGCTCAGTAGCTGTGTAGCTCAGAGCGGAAGTCAAATGGCTTGGTATTGGAAATGCACGAATGTTGCCATATTTTTATAAATAGAAAAATAAATTATTTGTTAATATTTCAGCTTTTGTCGTTTTAAAAAATATTATTATCAGTAAAAATATTTTTGGTATCAAAAGCCAATATGGTCTTAAAAGTCACTAGGCTATTTTTATGATATTTTTGGAGACATTTCAGACTGTGAGATTGGTCCCTTTCGGGTAATTATCTTAGGTTATTACCGGTAATATTTCAAAGTGTACCTTTGTAAACACAATCTTTCTGTCACGGCTTACAATTATCCTCCGTTCGCCAGAATCAAATGAAGTATACATTTAGGCAATACTGATAAAGCCCTTTGCGGAATAAATAAGCAAAGCTGGACTTTATATTATATAATCCTAAATTTGTCCAAACGAAAAAAAGTTCTTAGACAGAGTTGTGAAAGTTTTAACGCCATCTAAAGAGATACTCGGATATTGTTGTTTTAACTACAGCAAACATTTTTTATATATTTTTGCAGATGTAGCTGAGTTTATACATTTTGACCGCATAAAAATCGCGTCCATTCCGGTTACGATGACCGACGGTTCCGTAAATGACCCTCGTGCGAACGGAAACTAACGGAAGTTAGAACTATTACTAATTATAAGATAGCCGTAATGCACAGAAAGGGAATATATTGGAGTATGTTGAATTTAACATCAATCAGAAATACTTCGGCCAATGATGTCGCCGTGCTTAACACTGATAGTATTTCCTGAGCACTTAAAATCGTACTTGCAATGAAACCACTGGAAAAGAGGGGCAGTGAGCCTTCATACATTTGGCTTTGAGATTGGGAACTCCCGCGAATAAAGATATATACCTCTTTATTTTGAGCAAGATTGGCCTTTTTCTAGTTGTAGTGGTCTTGTTCTAATCGCCGTCCGCTCAGTTAAACTAAAAAACTCATCAAATGCCAGTTGTATAAGTTTTGAGGAAGAAGTTTGAACTAGCTTCAATTAAATCAATCCCTAATGAAAGATAGTTAATTAAAATTGCTTTATTTGAAATAATACGATTAAGTTATTGTATAGATCTTCGTCAGTTTTTTGTTGGACTGATTTTCTTTGTTGGTAAATTTTCAGACTCAGCGACTAACTTTGCGAGAAGGTTGAGTGAGCGAAAAACTTTATCCTTAGAGACGCTATTAATGCAAGAAAATTGGCTTTTTGTGTTTTAGTAATACATTTTTCGGAGGTTTTTTATATAACATACAGTCCAAATTTAGACCGGTCTAGGTTTAGGACTCAGACCAGAATTGCTTTAGATATAAATTATTTAAAGAGGTTAAACCTTGATAATAATTGGGAAAGTCTATACAATTGTGGTATATGGGTATGCAGTTAGGAATTTTGAAATTATTATAATTTTATTATTTTACATATATATAAAATATCCAATAAATACCAGACATAAGTTTGAACAACGTGGCAGCATTAAATTCCACACCAAGTGCTTTGGCTCTCACATTGCCAGCAAAGCGCTCCTATTGAATTCCAGTCTTTTGTTAGTGCAAATATGCTCTCGCACTCGACACTTGACTCAAACACACCATTTTGGGTGTTGCTCCAAATAGCGGCGTGTTGGGTTTCCCAAAGTGTCCTGGCTTGCTAACGGCAGAGACAGCAGCAGCTGCAGCAGCAGTCGACTACTGGTATATTCACATCGCTCAGCTATTTCCACATACCATCCTGTGAGCTGGCGTCGGCAGAAGCGGCGGTTACGCTACGCTGCCCAGAGCTACGCGTGCCGTTAGTGCTTCCGCAACACAAAAGCACGGCCAAAAATACCGTTGGAACACAGTTGAAAATGGTCCATCGTAGCGACAGCATCCCGGGCAATTGGCAAAGCGGAATACTGTTGTTACCAACACCGTTTGTGTGGACCACTGCATTGAAATTCAAATTGAAACTGAAACTGCTGCCTTCGATTTGGCTGCAAGTAACACAGTTTTCGGTGGAAGCTGCTTGAAGTGCTCGAGTGCATTTTCAATGAACGCAGCAGCGGCGAACGGATTTAAATCGACTGTGACGAAATGAAGAGGAGTGGCGGTGAAAGGGTTAAGCGCGAAGTGCGCTAAACGGAAGTGAAGTTGAAAGAAAGTTGCAGAAAATCGACGAGTGTTCCAGTGCGTAGCGGTGAAGTGAACGAATGAGTTTTGAATTTAAAAAGGAAATGAGCAGAAATTACGAAATATCGCCTAAATTTAAATAAAACAGAACGTGTGAAACAAAAAGTAAACAAATTGAATAATAAAAGATGATTACTGCCTTGCACGTATATATGTACAATATATATATAATAAATAACCTGCCCCCATCATTCAAATGAAAACAGTTACATAATAATAAAAGCAGGAAAATCCCGTGCGTTGCTTGGTTGTTCGTTGTGTTTTTGGCGCTTGTATACGTGTCTGTGTTCTTACTTATATTGGTTTTTCTTTTGTTGTTTTTGTTGGTGTTTATATTGGTGTTTTTTGTTGTTGTTGTTGTTGCTTTTAGCATTACACGTGTAATGGCAACTCACTATGGAGACACAAGTGCAGGTTGAGCTCCGTTGGCCGAGTGGTGACATTTTAATTAGAGGCAAAATTACAAACAAACAAAAAAATAATAAAAACAACAATACGAACAACACCCAAGTCTAACATGGTAATAGAAAATCAGGCGCGAACTCTCAAATCTCTACGATGCTCATTGAATGCTTAGCTTCGCCTGGATTATGCAGCACAAAACAAGACACGAAAAAGGTTAACGAGCTTTTGATTTAGTAATGAGCTGCACAGAAAAGCGGTAAATATACCTAGTGCAAAACTTTTTTACAAAAATTAACAAAAGCCTGAGCCACCCTAACTTGTGGGGCGTCAGTAAAAAAATTAAACAAAAATAATTATAATATGGTAACTTACAGCGATAAGTTTGGGAATAGAAAGTATATGCAAGAGATAATTACACTCCCGCTGAAGGATAAATAGTACCGAAAAAAGTCCGAAACATCAAATACAAGTACTTCATGGAGTTAAGTTTAAGCACCGCTTCTGTTGAGGTAAAATACTTCAGAGAACTGCGTGAAAATTAGGGATAAGCGCTAATTATATGGACGCAGAACATAGTATGGAATAGTTAAATATATAAGTAAATGTCTCTCCGTACCTTCCCACCGGAATTCCATGGTTGGGACTTAGATTTATAATTCTCAACGAGATATTTTTTCAAGTAAGTTCAAGTGTTGTAAGCGAGATTTAAATTTTTCTATCTAATAATAAAAATAAATATAAAACTCTAAGACGGAGGGCCTTCCCGCCGCTATTAAGAGCACATAGTTGGTGAGACTTTCTTAGAGATGTCTAAGAACCTATTTTTGAGAATACCATGCGAGAAATAAAAGATATTCGTTTTTTTTACCCACCCTAATATATATACATATTTATATTATCTTCAAGTCGATTAATATGTTAATCTAAAATACTGATGACAGATAATATAACAAGCGAGTGGCCTTATCACATTTCATTGCACAGTCACAAGAATTTACATATATTTTAATAAAAAACTCCGTCTTTAATAATTTCAACCACTCTAATACCCAAATATATATGTACCCATTTGAAATGTTATCTATGATGCTATTTTGATTATATATATGGTTAAAAGGCCGCCTACATACTTCTTGACAAGTTCAAAACTGAGTGATATATTTGAAAGACCTTTAATGACAAATGGTCTTTCTTTACCGGGGATATGGGTATGGAAACATTTCTCAACATCTTACTTAAACTTAATATTCCACTGATCTAAAAATCGCCTGCCTTAAAAAATATTAAACTTCCAACCTACAATATTGGAGAGTATAAAGATTCTATGAACTTGTTGCTAAAGAGTATAGAATTTTGTACACATATCGCTTGTGTGTAACTCTACAGTATATATAAATTATGGGGATGACGAGTCAGGAATTCTGAAATATATGTCTGTAAGAGCAAACGATAACTTGAGTAAGAATTGAGATATTTTAAAAATGATTGGTACAAGTATTTCTTGGCACTCTGAGGAGACACCCACCATATAATGTCATCATTATCATATATTAACCAAACTTGCTGAAAATATTTCCTTCATCATATGATGTGAAAATGGTGAAAAGCGAATATGTTAAAACACCTAAAAGTGGCTTTACGCACTAAATTTTACCGTAAAATTGATACGGAGAAGATGCATGCGCATAAAATGAACTCAAAATGTTTTTGTAACAGTTTAAAAGTGAGTGAGGGTAATTTAAAGTTCCATCTGATTCTTCTACTTTCCAGTATTTAAGTGAAGCACCTATGGTGATATCGAACAAACGCATCTTAATGAAATTATCTATGTTCTGATTACAATGTATCCTTTTACCACAAATTCGTAAAATCGGTCGTGATTTTCTGATAATAATTAGTCTTTGCATCGAAAAGAGTTTAAATTCAGCCAAAACTGTTTTCAGCCAACATATACCTAATATAAGGACTTTAGAACTTCTCGTGGGTTTCATAATATTTTTAACGGAAAATATGTGATATATCTTGGTAAAATTAAATGAAAATATAATCCCGAATGTACTATTGTTTGATGGTGAAAATGGTTATATTCGGTGCAATTATTGCCCCAATCCCCATATATCGCATATAATAATTTTTCTAACTCTAGCGAATGTTACGCGGAAAACATCGGTGACATTTTGAGTTATCTTAATAAAATTAGATAGAAACACGAGCTTATTTGAGTTCAATTCCAAAATTAAAGGCAAACAACTCAGAACTCTACCTAGCCTCAACGTTGGTATGTAGTGACTTTCGACATCCCGGTTAATTTTATACCGTTTATATTGGTTATTGGTAAAACTCATATGCTTAATTTGCATTATGTCATTCGATAGTAGAAATTGACGATATCGGTAGGCACCTTCCCAAAGCACTAAGTTGATGAATGTATTAATTTGTGTTTGTTAAATTGATTTTACCAAACCTGAAATAATTTTGAAGTAACTTAGAATGATGGATAGGATCAAAGTTATGTAATCTTAAAAACATCTGTCACATACGTATATATGTTTCGATTGATTTCTGCAACAAAGTATAGATTCTGTTGTCCTTGAGAACTATGGTCATTTGTAGTTTTAAGCAAAAAATCTCAAGCAGTGAGGTTGGTGGAACCATAAGACACCATTTCTGGTTTACGTTTACAACGATAATCTTTATATTCCGAAAAAAGTGGTCTAAATTGGAAACTGTTTCACAAAGGCTATTCAAAAATATACTTTTTTTGAACACATTGTAGTCGAGTGATTATATTGGAGTCATTGGTGTAGACCCAAGTTCTGATTTTAAATTTGCCCGTTTGCGATATTTTATGACCCAGTTCATTAGTGCATCATCCAGCTCTCCAATGTATACGACTGGTCGATCATTTTTCTACCCTGAATAATGCCACGGTTAGCCATGTCCGTTTGTCTGTCTGTCTGTCTGTCTGTATATAGCGAACTAAGCCCTCAGTTTGTGAGATATCAATCTGAAATTTTGAAGACGTGCTTTTATCTTCTAGAAGCTACTCATTTGTCGGAGCCGCCGATATCGGATCACTATAGCATATAGCTGCCATACAAACTGAACGATCGGAATCAAGTGTTTGTATGGAAAACTTTTTTATTTGACAAGGTAGCTTAACCAAATTAGACATAGCTTATTATCTAAGGCATGGCTATATTATCCAAACAAATTGTTCAGATTGTATCACTATAGCTTATAGCTGTCATATAAATTGATCGATCAAAATTAAGAAAAGATCCTTTTAGTTATACACTGTTATGCTATAAAAAATGCACATGTGAAGGGTATTATAGCTTAAGTTAACGTTTTATATTTTTATTATTTTTGGTTTTCACATATGCTTTAAACTGATTGTATATTCAAAAGGTAGTATCGGATCTAAACACAAAGTATTGAGAACTTGAAAATTAATCCTATAAAAATTCCAAACCAATGACTAAACTTTAAGCTATCGGAAATCACATCGATTAAATGCTAATAAAGTTATATCTCATTTATCTACTTGTTTCATAAAGGCATTCTTTTTTACATATGTATGGTATATAGAAGGCGCATTAGCATTTTTACAATGCCATTATGTTGATGGCTTTGATATCATTACCCACACCCTTTCACTTCATATTGCTGACATACCTATGACAAGCCTATCGCTAAGTCATTCCGCTTCTCCTCCCGCAGCACGCAAACATTTTCGGATACACACGCATACGTGTTTTTGGTGTTGCGCCACATACAATTGTTTTTGTCATAGCGGTTGCTTATACACATAGTATACAGCACAACATGTTGCTAATGTTGTTGTTATTGTTTGTCATTATAAGGCAACAAATAACAAATTGTCGCGCGTAAAGTCAAACAGCGCGAGCGAAAAATGTTGTTGCATGTATATGTGTGGTATGTGTATGTTTGCACTAATTTACTTTCAACCGCACATTTGACACACATAGACAGACATTTTTCAGAGTTGTCACTGCTGCAGCGCGTTAGCCTGTAGCAAAATGATGCTGTTGTTGTCCTTTACAGTTGTAACAGTGAATGCCCTAATGGCGAATATACTCGCAGCCAGCAATAAGAAGAAGAATAAGAGCACCAACACAACTGTCGAAAGCAGCAAAGCTATCAACAGCATCGCCTTCGTCAACGCCAAGGCGTGAATGAGACACGTCACGTGCCCCGCCAACGTTTGTTATCGTCGTTTCGCAGCTGAGCAGTAGAGGAGCAGCGGAGGTGCGGTTGCAGCTGCTGTATTTACAAAAACCGTTAACAAACAGTGTCTTGTCAGCGAGCGAGAAGTTGTCGCGAGCGGATGGGTGTCAGGGGTAGTGTGGAGTGTTACGCCCTGAATATGGCCGACGATGATAGTGACGATTATTGTCCTCCATAACTGTAGTCACATTAAACGCAGCTCGACAAGTCTTCCGTGCTTGTTGGTCGACACCTCGTCAATTCAGCGCGTTTTAGCACTCAGCTCTCTTAGAGCTTTTTTTGCTTCTGTTTTTGGCGCTTTTTTTGTCGGCGCTGTTGGTCCTTGCTTTTAAAATGTCATTTGGCGCTGGCGCTTACCGTTCCTGCGGGCACAGAGTTCCGCATTTCCAACAGACGCTTTTAAGCTTTGCTTTAATGTGCCGGCACATGTGCTGGCATAAACAATGGCT